GACCAGGCCTCAACCGACAACGAGGACCCCGAGCCGGATTATAGCATGCAAAGCTCGCAAACTGAGATACCAATAAACAACCAACAGCTCACCAAAGCGGATCTCTCAGCAGCCTTAGAGACGCTATCAAACAAACTAATAACAACTTGGCAGCATACTGCTGACTCATTAAGAAAAGACATACAAGAGTTGGGGAAGCGAACATCCAATATGGAGGACAAATGTGATGAAATCGCTACGGCACACAATGACCTCGCCACTACTGTGGAACAGCTATCTGCTCAGCTAACCACTATGGAAGAAAAACTAACGGATATGGAAGACCGTTCACGCAGGAACAACCTCCGATTGAGGGGGGTTCCAGAAGAAATCAGCAATGCAGATTTACCGGCATATGTCCGGGGGCTGTTAAAGGCGCATGCACCAGAGATCCCAACGGAAATGCTGCTGGTGGACAGAGTGCACCGCATCCCCAAGCAGACAAACTAATAACAACTTGGCAGCATACTGCTGACTCATTAAGAAAAGACATACAAGAGTTGGGGAAGCGAACATCCAATATGGAGGACAAATGTGATGAAATCGCTACGGCACACAATGACCTCGCCACTACTGTGGAACAGCTATCTGCTCAGCTAACCACTATGGAAGAAAAACTAACGGATATGGAAGACCGTTCACGCAGGAACAACCTCCGATTGAGGGGGGTTCCAGAAGAAATCAGCAATGCAGATTTACCGGCATATGTCCGGGGGCTGTTAAAGGCGCATGCACCAGAGATCCCAACGGAAATGCTGCTGGTGGACAGAGTGCACCGCATCCCCAAGCAGCGACACCTGCCTCCGGCGACCCCAAGAGACATACTAATGAGGGCTCACTACTTCCATATAAAAGAGCATATTCTTAGAAACAGCAAGACACGTGCCAAACCACCAGACGAGTATGCCACAGTTCAAATCTATGCAGACCTCTCGGCAGCCACGCTCCGGAGAAGAAAAGAGTTCTCCCAAATCACAGGTGCCTTGAGAACGCACAATATTCGCTACAAATGGGGCTTCCCCACAAAACTTCTTATTACAAAAGACGGAATGACAACAGTAATCCTAACCCCGGAGGACGGAATGAAGAGGCTGAGAACCTGGAATGTACCACTAACACTTGACCCCCAGGATAAGCCAACTATCAGCGAACCGCTTAGGCCCGAATGGACAAAAGTCCCGAAGAAACATTAAACACCAGACGACAACTGGTTTAACGGCAAGACTCACGCAAGACTCCAAAGCAGCTGGCTTCAATGGTGACCAGACCCCATCGGAACAGCCCGACCTCTGAGCGCCCACAATGCAAAGACCTTTAGCCGCGACGCAGAGGGCCCACTGCCAAGTAAGCAACCGGATCCGGGGCTCCCGCCATCCCTGTGACAAAGCGCAGCAGAGCAGTGGAACCACGCGGGGGACCCGGATCTGGAACCGCGGATTGGGACTGATACCGCCACCGGTAAGACTGCCTACATACTAACCACCACCCATACTCGGGTGCACTGCCCATGCAGAACATTTTATGGCTTTCCGGGACTCAGAGACTCAGCCCTCCTACTGGACACTGTTACAGGGCAATTTTAGTAGCCCAGTGTTGAACGGAATGGGGGGACTGGGGCGCTAGAGGGGCGGGAGGCAATGACAAGGCGGGCTAATATAACGGACGGCTCCCAGGGTAACAGGATCTCATGTGCCCAGTGTGGGGGCACTCTCTCCCGCTAGGGGCCATACATAAACAGGACAGCTTGCCCAGTGGGAATTCATGGGCAGGGAGACCCGGGTGACCGCATATAACGCAAACACTCACATGACAACACACCAGGAAGGTATTAGCTGTCCCAGTGGATGCATTTTGACGCCTACCAGGGACTTATAGCAGTTGCTGCCCGTCCTGGCTACGAAATGTTAGCTACATCACACAGGAAGGAGAAGGGCCAATTTCACGACATATGAACTGGACCCAGCTGTTGAAGCCAAACCTCATGAGTAACTTGCAGCAAACCATAAGCAAAGCCCAAAGGCCACGTAATGGAGGCACCAAAGAACTCCATCCCCCATGGTGCGGAAAACATGCACCTTGTCTCACACCGAGACATCATGTACATAGTTAATACCCCCATCCCCAGTTCTTACTCCCTCCAGTACCCCCTTTCCAGTTTGGTCAAACAGATAGGGACAGCACAGGTCGACAGAAACCTTAACCACACAAGTATAAAATGTAGCGCCGCAACACCGAATAACTATGTTGTCTTAGCTACTGCCTATGAGGGGCCCACCGGGATTGCACTTCCCACTACAATAACTTGGTGCACATACGCATCTAGCCAGCTACCTATAACTGCACACAAATGGTGAAAGTACAATCAATCAACTCACGCAGGCTAAACACTCCACATAAACGACGATTATTACTGGAAGAGGCCCAAAGACACAAAACCGATATATTATGCATACAAGAGACCCATTTTGTGCATAACAGAGTGCCGACATTCGCAACTAGAGACTTCCCAGTGCAATATCACTCAACATATTCATCCAAGTCTAGAGGGGTCTCGGTACTTATACACAAATCTATAACATTTGAACTCTTACAACTGAAAAAAGATACACAAGGCAGGTTTGTCATACTACACTGTAAAATAAATGATGCACAATACCTTCTAGTCAGTGTCTACGGCCCAAATGACAACCAAAGAAATTTCTTGCATAGGATATTAACTAAACTGCCAACCGCGATCCATGTTCCCACAATAATCTGTGGAGATATTAACCACATACTACAGCCCACATTAGACTCTACCTTGCCAACCACATCTCCCAGACACAAGACCTTAAGTAAACAAGCAACCCCACTGATACGCCTAATCTCAGAATATGGACTCTATGACGTATGGCGAACACAGCACCCAGATAGCCGGGAATTTACCTTTTATTCCCCAGTCCATAACACTTACTCTAGAATTGACTACATTCTAGTGTCAGGAGACCTACTACCATACGCTACCAATAGCTCCATAGGCGAGATAACATGGTCAGACCATGCAGGGATATGGTTAACACTCAAAGATAATTTTGCATTCCGGGGGGTAACTCCCTGGCGCCTAAATGACACACTTCTAAACAACCCAGAATTCAACCAAACACTGGACACGGAACTAATGTCATATTTCACACACAACACGGCACCAGAAATAACGCCGGCAACCTTATGGCTCGCGCATAAAGCAGTAGTCCGGGGGCACCTTATAAGCAGAGCATCCCACCTTAAGCACAACTCAAACCGAGAATATCTGACTCTACTTAGATCCCTTAGGGATGAAACATCAGCCCAAATTTCACAACCCTCCACTGAACGACAGCAGCGGATACAGCAAACTCAAAAACAGATCAACAACATACACATGTTGAAAACAGTTCACATCGCAAATAAACTAAAGTTCACTACTTACACACAAGCAAATAAGGCAGGGAAAGCGTTGGCGTCGATACTCAGGCAAAAGCATTTGAACGCCAAAATTCCCTTCCTCCTTAACGAGAAAGGAAATAAAATATTTAACCCGCAAGACATAAACAATATGATTGCCGATTACTATGATACATTATATAATTTAAAGACAGACAGCGACACCCACCAACCTCTCCCATCTAATATAGATGATTTTCTATCGGGAATGAGACTGCCTAGGCTAACCCCAGACAATATTATCACCTTAGAAACACCCGTCACACTTAACGAAGTACAACAAACGATAAAGACACTCCCTAAAGGGAAATCCCCAGGACCAGATGGGTTTACGAATCTATATTATAAGACCTTCTCACATACGCTAGCGCCCCACTTAGAAAAACTATACAACCATATCTTAAGCACGGGAACCATACCCCAAGAAATGCTGATAGCCCATATATCCACGTTACCCAAACCCGGCAAGCCACCCCACAAATGCCAAAACTTGCGCCCAATTTCACTATTAAATACAGACTTAAAAATACTAGCCAAAATCTACGCCACCAGATTGGGGGCCATTCTACCATCCTTAATAAAGGACGACCAGGTGGGCTTTGTTAAAGGAAGACAAGGTTCTGACGGGACCAGGAAACTAATAAACCTTATCCATAATATTCAACAGACAAAAGAACCCAGTGTGGCTTTGTCACTGGATGCAGAAAAGGCATTCGACAGGCTGCACTGGGGGTACCTGGAGGCGATCCTTCAAAAATACAACTTCCCAAAACGTTTTTTGAAGCTAGTTTCCGCCCTGTATGACAAACCAACGGCGAAAGTAATCAATGGAGGCTTTGTCTCCAAACAATTTCAAATCTCAAACGGCTCTAGGCAAGGCTGCCCACTATCGCCCCTTCTATATATCCTAGCACTAGAACCACTAGCGCAAACTATCAGGGAAAACTGCAACATATCGGGGGTTACCGTGGGCAACAAGACGCATAAAATTACATTATTCGCCGACGATGTGATGCTTACCTTAACCAAACCCGAAACATCCTTACCGGCACTACAGGCTGTAATCCAAAGATTCGGCAACTGCTCATACTATAAACTCAACGTTGCCAGGCCATGAGCTTCAACATTAGAAACCCAAGACTCTTAAACCTGCGAGCTGCCTTCACATATGACTGGAGACAGGACCACCTTACCTTCTTAGGAATAGCTTTAACACAACATACACACAAATTATACCAAGCTAATTATGTGAAACTCCTTCGGGAAATAAATATTCAACTGCAAAACTGGAGGGCGAAATATGTGTCGTGGATGGGTAGAATAGCGGCGGCAAAAATGATGATACTGCCCCGTTTACAATACCTCTTCAGGACACTACAAATTGATCTCCCAAGGCAATTCCTTACTAAGACCCAACAAGCCATAAATACGTTTATATGGGGGGGAGAAGAGCCAGAATCGCAGCAGACATCTTATATAAACCCTTCAAAAAGGGAGGAATGGGGGTGCCGGATGTCTCGCGGTACTATCTTGCGGCCATAGTAAGCACACTAGTACAATTGCACCACCACAAAACATCACTAGCGTGGAATCAAATAGAAACGGCACACACTGAGGGGCTACCACTACACACACTAGCCTGGACACCAGCTGACAAAAGGCCACACCACAAAACAATATGCCCAACAACAGCAACGACACTGAAAGTGTGGGATAAATTAGTTAAGAAACAACAACCTCGAATGAGGATCTCCACGGCCTTCCAACTTCAGGCGCTAACTATCCTGATTCCAGGATTCGAATATAAATTTTGGCACTCTCATGGGGTATTTTGTTTGTCGCAGGTTCTAGACAATGGGCAAATGATAGACTATGACACACTACACAACAAGTACAATCTCCCAACTGCCACCTTCTTCTCATACCTACAACTGAAATCGTGGGTACACAAACACTATGATAATACACAAGTCCAAGGACACTTGCTCACAGAGATAGAACGGTTATGCTTAGCAACAAAGCCTCCACAAAGGCTGCTATCTACCTTATATAGTCTGATTGGACCAAATGACTGTATAGAACAATTCAAATGTATTAGGGCATGGGAAAGGGAACTTGGACAAACACTAACGCCAGAAGATTGGACTAGCACACTGAGGGCTCACAAAACGCTGACACTAAACACAGCACATATTGAAATCAGTAGGAAAATACTATATCGTTGGTATATGGTGCCAACCAAACTACACAAAATAGACCACACAAAGAAAGATACCTGCTGGAGATGCGGTGAGGCGCCAGGCAATATGGTACATATATGGTGGGCATGCCCGAAACTCACTCCCTTTTGGTCCGAAATATCGGACATACTAAAAAACATCACAGGAGTAAAACTGCCGCACACTCCACTCTCTTTTCTGCTACTAATTTGGCCTGTAACACTGCAAAAACCAGACGCATATATTGCATACCACATCATTATTGCAGCCTTGACCGCCATCAGTAGAAGCTGGCTGAAACCCACACCTCCTAGTGTGCGACAATGCATGGAAATGGTAGAAGTAACCAAATCATTTGAGAAGGCAGCAAGAGGTACACACACACCTAGAAAATTCTGGACGTTAGCATGGAGCAAATGGGAAATATGGAACCAGCAAAACTGATACCCCTATAACCCCTAAAATTGAATAGGGTGCAAAATGGGCACAACAAAATCCTCCCTACTGTTGCGACATACTACTGTGACTCACTAATGGGGCACAATATCGTGACATACTATCATGACACACTGATGTCCCTGAGTAGAACGGTATCCCTATGAGCTAAACCGAACTCGTCCCTTTCCCCCTTCTCCCCCTATCCTCCCCTACCAAGTTTATCTCTTCCCTGTTCGCACCACCTCCCTACGCTAAAGCGAATTTACCACACACAAACACGGAGGATATCTATTTAAAACAACAGCCACTGGCCTCAATGAGGCACCTATGACGCACCTAATAGACCATGTTGACAAGACGAATCATAGATGTAAGAAACTATAATTTGTAACTGCTGATATCTAATTGTGATGTGTGACCTTGGAAAACTTTGTAGCAAAACTTCCCTATTCCCCTCTTCTCTTCTGTATCCCTACTGTATTTATGTTTCCGAACGACAAAAACAATAAAAAAATGTTACACACACAAAAAAAAAGAAAAGGATACACTGAATGAGTGTTGGGAAAGATAAGAGGAAAATCACGTTATTAAATCTGTTAAAGTTTTTTTCATCTGTGGCCCTAACTGCCATTTTTGAATATACATATTTTTTTTCAGTGATTCAACACAAATGTATCAATCTTCCCCGAACTTTCTCTGGCAGGAAAAAAATTTCATATAACTTTTTTTCCATTCTTAATCTGTCAGTCTTCTGCAACGAAAATTTCTGTGAAAACTCGCAGAATTTACTCCGAATAAAATATTCACTTTTTACATCACTCTTAGAACCCATAAATAAATATGATCAAAACAATGACAGAATTTAACCATTACTGTGCAGAACACTTTGATGAATATCTAGCGTTATCTACAGGTGGAGGCCATTTTTTCTTCTTATTCATTTATTTCTGGAGTCCTAGCCTCATAATTTCCTCTAGTTTGTTGTTGTTGTTCTATAATGTGTTGCAATGCTCTTGTAATTTCCCAGCTAGTAATAGATTTAGACATGCATAGCCACAGATCACACAGCACAATATGTTCTTCTTGTCTAATTCTTTTTGGTACACACAGTTCTGAATCTAATCTTATTCAAAATAACCTGAGGCAGGAACATTGATAGCTTCTCTAAAAACCTGGCACTTCAGCCCATCCAAAACGTGACTCCCTACTCAATAGCCCTAAATTCCTAACTTAAATGATCTGGTGGACATTTAATATTAATAATGTGTCTGTAAGTGTGTGTGTCTGTAAGTGTATGTGTGTGTCTGAGTGTGTATGTGTTTGTGTGTCTGTGAGTGAGTCTGTAAGTGTGTGTCTCTGCGTGTGTGTGTCTTTGTGTGTCTGTGAGTGTGTGTATATGAGTGTATGTGTGTGTGTCTCTACATGTGTCTGTATGTATGCGTCTGTGTGTGCCTACATGTGTATCTGTTTGTCTGCATGTGTGTGGGGGGGGGGGACCTGTGGGGTAGGAGGTAGATGTATGGGGGTCCCCAGGGCAATTTTCGCACCGGGGCCCCATGGTTTCTAGTTACTCCTCTATGGTCTCTTTAATTAATTTCGCCCTCTCAGGCAGCAATTTCATATCTCTAACCCTTCTTTTGATTTACTTTAATTTCCCACATACAGAGAATTTCTGGATGTGGACCCCCCGGGTAGCCAACCTCCTCAACCCATTTAATGTTCCCAATTGCTTCATCCTAATAATGTCACAATATACCAAGCCTGTGTGTAATCTATACCCCTGTCCATGTAAAATTCCAAGTATTCCCCATAATCCGTAAATGTCACCCAGCATCCCACTTCCAGTTAACCTATTATATTCCTCACAAAATATGCACAGATTTAGCACGAGCAAGCCCATACCTCTCATTTTCAGTTTTGGTTGAGGTGGAATTATCTGTGTGTGTGTGTGCAGTGTTTCAATCTGAAATGATGTACGTTCAGACTCCATGCATCATGACCACTTGAAATCACTATAGTGGTCTTGGTGGTTGGTGTAACCCTTTTACCTTTCTTCTAGCTGAAGTTCCTATTTCACTTTCCACTTGTGGTTTTAAAGGAACTTTAGGAATACAATACAAACATGATTCCAAACACTATAGTGTCCTGCTAACTGTTTAGGTGTCAGGAATGGAGGAATGGAGATACCCTAAAGGAAACAGTAATGTAAGACGTACCGGTTCGTCCAGTGGCTGGAATAGTGCCTGAGACATAAATGAAAAGTTTGCAAGCAAACAGAGAGTAAACGAGAGACAGGACGAGGTCTAGGATATCAGAGATACACAGAATTAATAGTCAGGTCAAGGTAAGGATAATAGAGAGCAGGAATAGTCAAACAAGCCGAGGTCAAAAAACAGTAAATCCAATACACAGTATAAATACTCTCATGCAGGGACGTATTAGCCGCAAGGCAAACAAGGCATTTGCCTTGGGCGGCATTTTCCAGGGGGCGGCAAAAAAAGCCGCCCCAAATGTGGTTAACTGACATGCCAGGCAGGCAGCTAAGTAAAAATCTGTGCGGGCGGCGCTGGCATGGGAGCACTTTCCCCTGAGCTCTCTGCTCAGCTCCCTCGTGCGCCGCCCGCAAAGTGATGCCGGGAGCCGGAATATGACGTCATATTCCGGCTCCCAGCATCACTCTGCGGGCGGCGGGCGAGGGAGCTGAGCAGAAAGCTCAGGGTTAAGTGATCCCTCGCCAGCGCCGACCAACCGGCAGCCCCAGGGAGAGGGAGAATCCCCCTCTCCCCCCAGCATTCCTAAAGGTAAGGAGGCTGGGGGGGGTTACATTTCTAAACGAAAAAGTGAGTGTGTTAATGTTTGCGTGTGTATTAATGAGGGAGTGTGTCTGTTAGTGTGTGTGTTAGTTTGTGTGGGACTGTTAGTGTGTGTGTCTGTTAGTGTGTGTGTCTGTTAGTGTGTGTGTCTGTTAGTGAGTGTGTCTGTTAGTGTGTTTGTCTGTTAGTGTGTGTGACTGTTAGTGAGTGTGTCTGTTAGTGTGTGTATCTGTTAGTGAGTGTGTGTGTGTCTGTTAGTGAGTGTGTGTGTGTGTGTGTGTGTCTGTTAGTGAGTGTATGTCAGGGAGTGTGTGTGAGTGTTAGGGAGTGTGTTACTATGTGTGTGTCTGTTAGTGTGTGTCACCAGGCCCGGACTGGCCATCGGGCATACCGGGCAAATGCCCGGTGGGCCGCGATGGCCGTGGGGCCGAGGCCGGCAGGGGAGATCACAGGATCTCCCCGGCCGGCTCCTGCAGGGCCAGCGCTACCCGAGCGCCGGCCCCGCTGTGTGCCTCCATGGGCCGGTGGGGAGATCAAAGATCTCCCTTTACCAGCCCAGAGACACTTCCAGGCGGCCGCTTGCTGGGGTGTGAGGGAGGGAGGAGAGGACCGGCGGAGCTCTATCCAGCAGCTCCGCCGGGTCCTCTCGCGGGATTCTGAGCGTTGCCACGGTTACCGCGGCAACGCTCAGATCTCGCGAGAGTGAACTCTAGCCTACAGGCTAGAGTTCACGCTCACCACTAGGACCACCAGGGATCAGGCAGCATGGCTCTCCTCCCTGGCAGAACGGCTCCCCCCGTCCCAGGCAAAATGGTCCCCCCCCCTCCCAGGCTAAAGGTAAGAAGGGAGGGGGGGGATATAACTTTTTAAAAAATTATTATTATTAATAAAATAAAAAAATAATTTAAATTAAAAAATCACACTCACACACACACACACATCACCCACAGACACACACAGTACCCCCAGACACACACATCACCCCCAGACACACACATCACCCCCAGACACACACAGCACCCCCAGACACACAGCACCCCCGACACACACAGTACCCCCAGACACACACAGCACCCCCAGACACACACAGCACCCCCAGACACACACAGCACCCAGACACACACAGCGCACTCAGGCACACACACCCCAGACACACAGTACCCCCAGACACACACACAGTACCCCCAGACACACACACAGCACCCGAAGAAACACACAGCACCCCCAGACACACACAGCGCACTCAGGCACACAGCACCCTCACTCACACACAGCACCCTCACTCACACACAGCACCCTCAGACATACACATCACCCCCAGACACACAGCACCCCCAGACACACAGAACCCAGACACACACAGCACCCCCAGAGACACACAGCACCCCCAGACACACAGCACCCCCAGACACACACAGCGCACCCAGACACACACAGCGCACTCAGGCACAGAGCACCCTCACTCACACACAGCACCCTCGCTCACACACACACACACATATATATATATATATATATATATATTTACAGATATATATATATATAATATATAAAATAACCCTCAGTGAGTTAACAGACAAAGAAAATTAGAATGTGACGGCAGATAAAAACACCCTCACACACAGCACCCCTCTTACATACACACACACTGCGCCCCTCACACATACAATACGTCCAAATATATATATGTATGTATATATATATATATATACACACACACACACACTACAGC